TGGTTGTGAGAGGGGTCCCAGGAGAGGTGATGACTCTATTGTAGGTGATAACGTACCCATGTGTGATACAATAAGTAGAAGTATATTGAAAGTAGGACTAATAAGGAATGGTTACATATCACATTGTGGATTCAGGCGGCAATCGGAACGGCTTCCTACGATACATTTGGTTCGTATAATTAAAATTTACCGGGAAAAATAGAATATTAGGTCAAAGAAATCATGTTATCTGAACGCTATACAAAAAATGAATTGAGTATTAGTTGAGTGGTAATTTTAGTAGATATTAGGCGAGGTATTTTATGTCTCATTTATGGCGAAGTATTATGTAACCCATGCATGGTTTTGGAAGGGGTGGAAAAAGAGCTTGATAGTCACACTTTTGGGTTCAATAATGTTGTGGTAAGGAACACAAACAAAGAATATTTTGTATAAAATATAATGTGTGCGTATACAACAAAGAAAAAAATGCAGAGATACAGAGGTATGGCGCAAGTGAAAAAACACAGGGGGACATGTATGAAACAAGATAGCCACAACGTTGTGTTCGGTTGTATATAACATAGAAACAAGGGACACCTTCACAATAAAGTGCCGATAGAGGATCACGGGCGTACGGCGAACGGAAATGACGGGGAAAACGAGGCGGAAACAAAATCGGGCTGTCGTGCTGGAATAACACTTTGTGTGACACAGGGAGAGGGCCGTACGGAAAACGGAGTGAACGAAAAGCCATGCGGGACCCTGAACCAGCCGGCGGGGAAATCATCAAAGCAAACAGACCGCGAGCATTCGCTCCAGCCACCGTACGGTGTTTGTCATATCCACAAAGCCGATTTGTTGGGTCCATTGGAATTATCGACGAACGGTTCCAGCTCCCCAAGTCATATACAGACGGCCTTGCCCCAGCGAACCGGATCTACCTTCCTAGCTAATCACGCAAACGGCGAAAACACGCAACGAGAATCCGTTATTTGACCACCCACACCTCTTGCAATCAGTGTCCGGCCAGAAATCGCTGGCGTACAGTTCCGGGACTTCTCACAACTCCCGGGACCGTGAATCTGAACTGCGCTATCACCAGAGCTTTCGGGGGCCAAATTCGGATACCATAATCAGAGTCGCGCAATGTGAAAAGGATGGATCCGCGCAGCCGGAGATAGGATTTCTGGAAGTACCCGACACGAACAAAAATACAAGGAAAAATAATTTTCACGAAGGTTTGCGGCTGTTCATGTATGTCCGTATGATCCGTAGAGAAGGTGATTGTACGTTTTGCAATAGCCCCTTCTGTCAGATTAGACACTATCGCGTTTTGTAGGGGAGGGTAGGTAAGTAAATCACCCCGGTTAGTATTTGGTTTATTACCTCCTCTCCGCCAGGTCAGCTCCGTTTCCACCGTTTCGGCCTCCATCATCACCACCATGAGCGCTAGCTCCCGGTTGTGTTACGGCATAGGCGAGATTGGGATTGACTCTACGACTCTCCTCATCACTCTCGACTATTTGGATGAGCGCGATTGTAGGACATTTGGTAGCATGGTGCTTCGGATTATTTTTTTTTCGTTTCATGATTGATTTCGATACTTTAATATGATTTGAGCATAACTGTGATGAATATTGTTGTCCATTATGATTTAATGTTTTCATAGAACTTGCTGAATGATAAACGTTGGTTTGGAATAATTAAATGATGAATATTGCTTTTCATTACTTTGCATCGATTGTAATTGAGTTGTGTTCGGATTTAATTTAATTTCTACTATTTTTGCGTTTATTGTGAAGTTGGTTGATTGGATATTACGTGTTGACAAATTGTATTTGTTAATTGCGTACCAACTAGTGGTATTGCCTTGTAGCGTTTATCGACGTTCAATGATAGTCTTTAACCATCGAACTTGAGTGATCGGGTGAGACATGATAGATTATACCTAGACTGTCGGAAGCCATTTCATTGATTTACCTTGCCTGTAAGTTTAGGGATCGTGAGGGTGGAGAGAATTGTGTGAGTCGGTCTCGTTTCGAACCAAACCATAACAGCAATATTTTTATTATAAATTCTTTATTTGCTTTAATTTCAATTTCATTATTTGCTCTTAGTCTATTTAGTTTCATTAACTCCATTGCCAATATATACATTGTCGTGTCACTACTTACAGCAATACTGGTATAGGTTAGCTAATCTAGGTCTCTCTAGCATCCCTGTTCCATCCTTCCTTCACCCTCATCCACACTTAACCACTCTTACTCTGCCACCTACTATCTTCCCCTACTACTTTCTCTGCCACCTTATCCCTTTCTCCTCCACCCTTTTCAACTGCTCTTCCATCTTATCAAACCTGCCATAAACAGCTGTTGTAAACTATCAAACAACCTGTTTATGAGGTCAATCACCTCACTCTCCCGACCCCGACGCCTCGGCAAAGCGGTACTTGTTGTACAGTTTGCTGAGGCATACAAACATCTTCCTCCCTCCCTCCCCTCCTCCTCCCTCCCACCGATTACGGCTTCATCCTCCTCGTGTCAACCACATTTTCAAGCGTGGCCTTACAACTGCCCTTACTTGTGTGAGTCCTTATAGCTCCCCGTCGGCGTCTATCCCTTTATCCCTTTCATCCTCCAGTGCTCGAAAGATGTGACATAATGCTGTTGTGCTTCACCCCGAGTACGGTGAGGGACGGACAACCCCCTGCAATAGAAACAAAATCAATCAGATTTAAGCGACATTTTAAAGTAAGTGCATATTCAAAGCTTAACCTTAATCTTACCCGAGCTGATTGAATTTCAATCTCTTTTGCTCATAATCCGAATGGGTACACTTCTGGTCGTGCCACCGCACACTCCTAGGAAATGTCTGTTGCACAACCAAAGCCCTAACCTCCCCACTGCCTTAGCCGACAGGGATGACCTCATACATCTAATCCTACATTGTAAAAAAACAGTCAATATCATAATTCAAACACATTATTAAAAAAATATAACAAAAACTATTAATATTTACTTGTATTGCCCATGGGAAGCCAAACAAATTGTACGTCGCCGCTCTATTCTTCTCGGCCCATTGGAGTGCTTTAACGCCAGGTCTTTGTTTTGCAGGGAGTCCATGGTTCGCTTAAATGATACCCATCCCCACGATAAGCATTAAAGAAGTTTAGTATTGCTTACAAACTCACCCAATCAATATCACAGCTTTTGTTGAGTCACTAGCCATTAGGATCGAATGTAAGAACAATACAAAGCACAATTTGAACTCTCTAAATCGTTAAACTCACCATCTTTTAACCTGTCCTCTATTCCTGCGCCTTAATAGACTTGTTCCCCGCCAAACCCTTGTTAGCCACCTTTTGGCTCTCGTACTGTCCGTTATTTTCTTTTTCCTTAACCTCACCTGGCAATTCCCTACATCTTAAGCCGTCACCAACGCATATTCCATCATCCCGAAACGTAATGGCTTTTCCATCCACCACGAACCACATTTCAGCTTTTGTTGCTTTTTATTGAGTGCAGCAACATATAATGCACTCCCGACCCCAGATGTCTTTTTCCATTTTGTATCCATATCCTAAAATACTGAAACAAGTCTCTTTGAATCTCCTTTCACCATTCCTCCACTGTCCCTAAATCCCTGTTATTCTCGTTAAAACATCCCACTTGACCCCACTGTCACCCTCATAGGGAAGTACGATACCGTATCGCTTACAACCTTCAATCCTTACCCTCTTATAGTTTACGCTCCGGAAAATCTGCATAATCGATATAAACAAAATATCAGCAAAAAAATTAACAAATCAATATAAACAAAATACCTCCGGAAGAATCGTTTAAGCGATGGGCAGATGATTCTGCTCATACAAGTCTCTTAAGGGATCTGAAATCGCTTAAGAGTAAAAGCGACAAATCGCTTAAGCGATATAGAAGATCGCTTAAGCGACAAATCGCTTAAGCGATATAGAAGTCGCTTAAGCGATTCGTCGATTTTACTCTTGGTCGCTTAAGCGTCTCTTCCGAGGCAGAAAATATCTGCCCAAGATCTAAAATCGCTTAAGCGATCTTCTATATCGCTTAAGCGATTCGACACTTTTACTTTTAAACGATCTGAAATCGTTTAAGCGATACAAATCGCTTAGCGATTATAGATCTGGGCAGATTTGATTCTGTCTTGAAAGAGATCGCTTAAGCGATCTTAAATCGCTTAAGCGACCAAAGTAAAACGATGTTGATTCTGCCTCTTACAAGATCTCTTAAGCGATCTGTATGGCTTAAGCGACCAAGATTAAAAGCCATCAATCGCTTAAGCGATACAAAGGATCGCTTAAGCGATCTTCGGTCTTGACATACAATACATTTTCTTCACGGCCTCCTCCTCCTCACTTGAACTCTCACCGGACTCCTCTTCCTGGCCTGAATTCTGCCCGGCCTCCTCTTCCCTTCAGAACCGTTTTGCTCCTGTTCTCTCTCTTGTTGTGCCGCCATCGTCTCCGCTGCTGGAACCCCTTCACTGATTAGGACCCACCAGAGCAGCCATTGAACTGCTTACGCGGCCGAACTCTATGATTCGAAAAGGCGTTGGGTTTTCCTCCTCATTGTGAATGTCAGCCATGGTTTTAAGAAAGGAAGAAGCTTTAGGATTGAATTTGGGTGTGAAATTTGCAAAATATGGACTATTATCATCGAAAATTGCACAGATATATTTAGGATTGAAAATATCGATTTTTGCCTTAATCGATTTCGATTAATGCCTTAATCGATTTCGATTAAGTGATTTAATGGGTAGTACTTTTTTTTAAATTTCAAATTTTAAAAACTTTTATTAATATAATTTTGTCCTTATATGTTTTAATCTTTTTATTTTAACTAATTTTATATTTAATTGATCTTAATTATGACACGTTGCTTCTCTAAATTTAAAAAAAAAAAAAAAAAAAGTTTCAAAACCATTTTCTTAAATCGAAACTTGGATGGCCGGTCAGCTAAATTTTCTCAAACCAGGGGCCACTATCCAAAATCGAGAAGAAAAGCCATGGCTAAACAACTCCATCTTCTTTCCAAGTTGCCAGTCACTCCTCCACTCAACCACTTGACTGTCTGTCTCTCCCTATGTACGGACTCATCAAACGGCAACGACCTTTTTCAAGAACAACGCAATGAAGTAGTTCGCAAACTCCGAATCCTCCTCCAACAAAACCGCACTGGAACCGCTCAAAATCTCCTTAAATCCCTCCTCTCAAAGATTCTCCCTTCTCTTCGCCTCATGAACTCTTCTCTCTTTTCTCTATTTCTTCGCCCCCCTTAAAACCCATTTTCTCCAATATGTTGTCAGTTCTATCCTCCGCTAAAATGCCCGTTGAAGCTACACAACTTTACTATTCTCTTCGAAAAGACGTATTTTTCCTTCTTTAGCTTCTCTCAGTGCTTTGCTTGAATGTTTGGTGAATTGTAATCAATTTGATAAGACTCTTGAATTGTTTGGGGAGATTGTAGGGTCGGGTTTTCGACCCGATAGGTTTACTTATGGTAAAGCTGTTCAAGCCGCGGTGAAATTGGGTGATTTGGATAGGGGTTTTGAGATTGTTGAGTCTATGAGAGAAGGAGTGAGTCCTAATGTATTTGTTTATAATGTTTTGATTAGTGGGTTGTGTAAAGAAGAAAATGCGGGATGCGGGGTTTTTTGATGAAATGTGTAGGAGAAAATTGGTGGCAACGAGGGTTACCTATAATACGTTGGTTGATGGGTATTGTAAAGTTGGGGAGTTGGAGAAGGCTTTTGAACTGAGAGAAAGAATGAAGATTGAGAATGTGGAGGCGAATTTGGTTACTTACAATTCTTTACTTAGTGGCCTTTGCAGGGCGAAGAAGATGGAAGAGGCGAAAAGGGTTTTCAAGGAAATGAAAGATCATGGTTTTGTGCCTGATGGGCACAGTTGTAGGATCCTTTTTGATGGGTTATTAAGGAGTTGTGATGGGGAGGGTGTGATGGCTTTGTATGAAGAAGCGTGTGGGAGAGGTGTTAGGATTGATAGTTATACTTGTAGCATTTTGTTGAATGCATTATGTAAAGAAGGCAAGGTTGAAAAGGCGGAGGAAATTTTGGAGAAGGAAATGGAAAATGGGCTTGTTCCGGATGAGGTTATGTTTAACAAAATTGTGAATGGGTATTGTCAAAGGGGCGACATGAATAGAGCTAATTTGACCGTTGAACGGATGGAAAATCGTGGGTTGAGACCGAATTGCATTACTTTCAATTCTTTGATTGACAAGTTTTGTAAAATGAGAGAGATGGATAAGGCAGAGATATGGGTGAAGAAAATGGTGGATAAGGGTGTTTCTCCAAATTTAGTTACACATAACACCCTGATTAATGGCTATGGACGGACGGGCCTTTCTGATAGGTGCTTCCAGATTCTTGAAGAAATGGAAAATAATGGGTTAAAGCCAAATGTTGTAAGCTACGGTTCTCTCATAAATTGCATGTGCAAGGATGGGAAGCTTCTCGAAGCTGAAATAGTCCTCAGGGATATGGAAGGCAGAGGGACATTTCCTAATGCTCAAATATATAACATGCTTATTGATGGTAGCTGCACAGTGGGGAGGATTAAAGATGCTTTCAGGTTTCTTGATGAGATGGTGAAAAGTAAAATTGGTCCAACACTTGTAACTTATAATGCCCTAATTAATGGCCTTTGCAAAATGGGAAGGTTAATGGAAGCTGAAGACTTGCTTCTCCAAATAAGTAAAAGTGGTCTTAGTCCGGATGTGATTACATATAACTCACTGATCTCAGGGTATTCTACTACAGGAAATGCTCAAAAATGTCTTGAGCTATACGAAAATATGAAGAAGTTGGGCATTAAACCTACTCTAAAGACTTATCATCCTCTTATTAGTGGATGCAGCAAAGAGGGAACTGTAGCTGTAGAGAAACTATTAAGTCAAATGTTACAGACTAATTTGGCTCCTGATCTACCTGTGTATAATGCACTCATTCACTGTTATGTACAGCATCGAGATCTTCAAAAGGTATTGGCATTGCATAGTGAAATGGTGGACCAAGGAATTCGTCCAGACAACTTGACTTATAATAGCTTGATTTTTGGATTCTTAAAAGAGGGAAAATTATCTGAAGTAAAAGATCTTGTCAATTCCATGAAGGCCAGAGGATTGATCCCTAAAGCTGACACATACAACATACTGATTAAGGGATATTGTGAAATTAAGGATTTTGGTGGAGCATACATTTGGTACAGAGAGATGCTTGAGAATGGTTTCCTCCCCAGTTTTGGTATATGCAATGAACTTACCAGTGGTCTTAAACGGGATGGCAGGTTGGAAGAGGTCCAGATTATATGCTCTGAAATGAGTGCTAAAGGAATTGATGATTGGAACATTACTGAGGATCTTTCTGCTGCTGCCAAAATGTAGAGTGATACTTGGTGTGATTTAGTACTCATGACCTCGATTTATTAAGCTCTCAAGGAAAGCAGGAAATGCAGCTGCATAAAGCACTATGATTACTTGGAAATTCTTGATGCTTATGCCCAACCTGGCCCTGATTTTCTCTGGTGCACCATCTCTCTTGTTCTCAATCCAGAATTTCTTTTGGTTCAGACTTAGCTGGAAATTTTGGTATGAATATTCTTGCTTAATTCACAGTCAAGTATTTTGTGTTTTCAAAATCATTGGAATTCTTTGTATTGTTGCACATACCTGAATCAATGTTTAGTCGTCAGCAATTCTTTCTTTTCTTTTTCAGGTTTGTATGGTAAATATGTACTGTATCAGTCAGTCTGTTGAGGGCAAAGTGGATCCAATCTCATGGATCTATCATGTCCAAACTTTATGATATTGTCTGATGATAGTGGTTAATTCATTGTGACAATCAACAAACACAACTTGGACCTTACTGATGAAAACTGGTTATGCAACAGACCCACGCTCACCACCTTAAGTCACCACAACAACTCAATATACGCAATATCCCAACAACAATCCAGCCAAGTAAACATACAAGAGCTGATTAACAAGCATTAATGGAAATGAATGAATATATATATATTAAATCAAACAGTGGACTCAGCAGGACTCAAGCAACCCAAATAAGCAAAATAACACCTGGTCTCCGAGGGCCAGTACCAACCAGACACACCCACATGAATTTCCTGAATATCCCTCGACACACTCACGTCCCTCTTTTATTCCTGACATTTTCAGATTCTCTTCTAACTCAGCCACCTGTCACCTTTAGCAAATGCCCTTTTTGCCCCTTTCTTTTATAACATTGAGACACCTTGGGTGCATCACTTACCTATGAATGAGCCAGGTAAAAATGAATCCTTAATGAGGCAATTAATTTGGTAACAGATGCACAACAATATTTGCTGAAGAAGCTGCCAAGCCTCTAAATTTTGTTGGGTAGGAAGTGCTAGATGACAGATCTACTCAAGATCATATATATATATATATATATATAATATTCAGGGATGACAAACCTACCTTTGTTTTTTTCTTTTTGCATGTTCATGTAGAGATATGATTATGGAAGTTGTATATTTGATCTCTATCTTCTTGATTAGGAAGATATATAGTTATGTTTTTACATTTATCTTTGATTGTTAAATTTCTGGCAGCAGTTTTGGTCTTTTGAAGTTGAAGTTCTGTTGGAACCTGACGCTACTCTTAAGTCTTCAATCAATCACACATTCAGTTCACCTCAATGGCCAATAAACAACAAACAAGCATGCCAACACTCAATATTCAATCAAACAAACTGATATTTATATTAAAAGAATAATAGACTGTATTACAAGTGGAGAAGAACATAGAAGAACATTAAAGAAACAGATAGTAGGCTCATCTTCGAGGGTCAGCTCCTCCTTTATCATTTCCCACTAAATTCCATGATATCACATTTATCCAGCCTCCTCTCTTTTATTCTACTAGGTTCCCACTCTAACTAACTCTTCACACTCATTGTACTGATGTGCCACCTATCAATCTTTGCTTTTCCTTTTCTGCCCTTTTTTGTTATACCATTTGGTTACCGAGGGTCCATCATTATACTCCACAAGGAGTGCCACCTTGTCCTCAAGGTGGAAGGAAGGGAATTGGCGGCACATTGAGTCATATGCTTCCCAAGTGTTGTCACAGGTTGGAAGTGATTTCCACTTGATTAACACTTCATAGTTGCCATCTGATAGACGTCGTTTTCAAAAGGCCTGCTCAGGTTCCACTTGTAATACCATATCACCCATGAGGATGTCTGGAAGAGGTTGTGCTGCCAAGGGTTGCTTTCTTAAGCTGGGACACATGAAAAACATCATGTATGCGGGCTGTGGGAGGTGGAGTGAGTTTATAAGCAATCTGACCGATTTTTTCAGCGTTGTATAGGGGCCACAGAAGCGAGGGCTAAGGTTCTCATTGACTCTACCAGCCAAGGACTTAAGACGGTATGGCTAAAGCTTCAAATAGACTGAGTCACCTACTGCATAATGAACTTCCCACCTTTTGCCATCGGCATAGAGCTTCATGCTTTCCTGGGCCTTAGCCAAATTCACTTTCAATTCTTCCAAGAGGAGATTGCGCTCAACCAATTGTTGATTAACGACATCCACAACCGAACTGTTTTCACCGTATTTCAAAAGGATGGGAGGGTCCCTATCCTTTTAAAATAGATTCATTCCCGAAGAGTGATTATATGTTGTATTAAACCAATACTCCACCCAAGCCAACCATTTCGGCCAATGTTGGGGCTGGTGGCCACAAAACAACATGAATCAGTCTCCACACAGTGGTTTACTACTTCCGATTGCCCATCCATTTGAGGGTGGTAGGCAGTGCTCATGTGGAGCTATGTTCCTGATTGTTTAAACATTTCTCCCCCAAAAAAACTCATGAAAACTCTGTTCCAATTAGATATTATGGTGCAGGGAAACCCATGCAACTTAATCTTTAAGGAATAAATTGGCGACCTCTTAGGTTGTGTAAGGATGCCGCAAAGTAAGGAAATGATTGTATTTCGTAAGGCGATCCACTGGCACCAAAACAGTGTCTACTTGATGAGCCTTAAGAAGACTTTTGATGAAATCCATGGATACATCCTCCTAGACTTGAGAGGGGATAGGTAGTGGTTGTAAAAATCCCGCTAGTTACAAGGCATTATACTTGTTCAATTGGCAGATTGAGCAAGCTTTGACAAAGGCTTGGATGTCCTGTCGCTTTCCTTCTAAAAACAACACTTGTGCCAATCTTTTGTAAGTCTGAAAATATCTGAAATGAACTCCTGCGGGGAAAGAGTGAAATTCGTGTAGAAGCTATTGAACTTGGGGGCTGGATTTAGGCAAAACTATACAATCTTCATAGTATAATTGATGGCCAACTAACCTGAAATGTGGGTGGCTACTAGGATCAACAATCAAATCTTGGTAGATCTTCTTCAGTTTGCCGTCTTGCTGAATGACCTCTTCCTAGTCCTCTCTTTTGGCAAAATAACATACTGAGATGGCATTACACTCAACTGTCCCATCATGCCTAGATAAGGCATCAGTTGCTTTATTTTTTAACGCCGGCTTGTATTGAATCTCATAATCTAATCCAAGCAGTTTAATAATCCACTTTTGTTGCTCTTCTTCTTGCAACCTTTACTCATTCAGATAGTGGAGCTTACGTTGATCAGTTCTAATGATGAAGTGTCTACCCAACAAGTAACGCCGCCATTTCTAGATGGCTAATACAACTATCATCAACTTTCTCTCATAGATTGATCTTAGCCACGATCGTGTAGAAAGACCTTGACAAAGAAATGCTAGGGGCATGCCTTCTTGCATTAGGACAACCCTAATCCCTTGCCCCGGAGCGTCAGTCTCAATGATCAAAGTCTTCGAAAAGTTAGGCATCGCTAGGACGGGTGTTGTGGTCATGACTCATTTCAACTCTTTAAATGCCTTTTGTGCTAGTTTAGTCCAAACAAAAGCGTCTTTGCGAAGAAGGTTGGTCAAAGGCAATGCAATTTTTTCATACTCATTGACAAATTTTCGATAGTACTCGGTTAGCCCAAGAAACCCACAGAGTGCCTTGACATCTTTTGGGATTGGCCAATTTAGTATACAATCCACCTTGGAGGGATCAACCGCAATGCCTTGGGTTGGAATGAGGTGGCCTAAATACTCCAATTGAGTCTGCCCAAAGTTGCATTTTTTTCTATTGACTACCAATTGATGCCTTAACAATATTTGAACGGTGAGCCTCAAGTGATGTAAATGTGCTTCCAGGTTAGTGCTATAGATCAAAATATCATAAAAAAAAAAAAAAAAAAAAAACCAAGATAAGCTTATGCAAGTGAGGCTTGAATATGTTGTTCATGAGAGCTTGAAAGGTTGACGGAGCATTCGATAACTCGAAGGGCATTACGAGGAATTCATAGTGTCCTTGATGTGTCCAAGGGGCCGTCTTATGGGTGTCCTCCTCCCTGACCCGTATTTGATGATATCCCGACTAGAGATCGAGTTTTGAAAGCATCGTGGCTCCTCCCAATTCATTGAATAATTTGTCTATAGTTGGGATGGGGAACTTGTTAGGTATGGTTATCCTGTTAAGCACCCGATAATCCACACAAAAGCACTACCCTTCATCTTTCTTTTTTACCAAGAGTATCGGGCTAGAAAAAGGGCTGACACTTGGTTTGATAATCCCTGAGGCCATCATCTCGTGAACAATCTTTTCTATCTTGTTCTTCAGGTAATATGGGTATTAGTAGGGTTTGACATTAGGGATTGGAGCTCCATGTTTTATTTTAATGGCATGATCATGCGCCTTTGTTGGTGGGAGTCCTGGTAATGGTTCAAACGGAGCTTCATATTCCCTCAGCAATTAAAAAATGCTATTGTCCACTACCGATTCACCCACCTCCTGCAGTTGTAGATCTCCAAATTCCAGCAAATACCCTGGTCCCTCTGTCTATGGTGTTTTAATCATCCTCTTCAACAACACCTTTGTCTTACTCAGTGACGGATCCCCAACCAACGCTACCATTTCCCTAATTGGTTAAATTTCATCACCGACTCCTTCCAGTTCATTGTAGTCTCCCGCAAAGTTTCAAGCCATGCAATGCTCAAAATGACGTTGGTGTTGTTCACGTTGAAAGGGTAGAAGTTCTGAACCACGGTGATGTTCTGTAGCTTCAAGCTCACCTCTCGACATTCTCCTTAACAACTCACTTTGTAACCATCCCCAACTCTAATTCGAAAAGGTTTGGTTAGGACCACTGGGATTTTTAATTCTTCTACCACCTTCCGATTGATGAAATTGTGAGAGGCCCTGTTGTCAATTAACACTATAACGCCCTTACCTCCAATCTCACCTTTTAGTTTCAAGGTTTTGGGTCCATTTATGCATTCCACCAAACTGATTGAAAGTTCAAGGGTCCTTGGTACTACTTCCTCAAGTGTGTCTTCCCTCGTGGACATCTCATTTATCTCTGGATCATCATCTTCCACTAACAGCACTTGGAATTGCTTGTCCCCACATCGATGGCTTGGCGAGTATTTGGGGTCACATCAGTAGCATAAACCCTTCTCCCTTTTTGTTCGGAACTCGGCTTTGGTCATTTTCTTGTAAGGAAACTCTCGCCGAAATGGATTTGGTCGGAAGTTGACCGATGAGGATAAGTTGGGACTAGAATAAGCATCACTCTGATTTCTTCATAGGGGTGGATTTGGGGTTAAATATCTGGTTGGATCGTTTGGGGTTTG